ATTGATATATATACACACCCATATTCATAGCAGCACAGTTTGTAACAGCTAAATCTTGGAAACAACCCAAATTCTCATCAACTGATGAATGGATGAAGATTTTTTTTATACAATGGAGTGCTACTCGGCCATGAAGAAAGATAAAATTGAGACATTTATCACTAAATAGTTGCACCTGGAGGCCGTATCCTTAAGTGAAATAAATTGGACACATATGTATGAATAATGCATTGTTTCTCTGGTGTGAGAAAGTGAAAGCGTAAATAAGAACCAAAATGTGTAATAGATATCATGAAATAGGAAGAAAATGCTCAAATGAGGAGAGGCATATGGGAGAGGAGAGAGGGAAAGGAAGGAATGGAAAATGAAAAAATGAGAAAAGAAAGATAAAATCGAAACAAAGCTCTTGTACGTAAGAAGGGAAAGGGGGAGAGGGTGGGGAAGAGAATGGAAAAAAAGTAAGAATCAAGATATATCATATACAGATACAAATTCCATATGACAAATGTGATCATTATGGATATCTAAACTGTGCCAATAAATTTTATTAATGATGAAACAAGAATGAACTATATACACAGTTATAGAGATGAATATTCAAAGCATTATATTAGATGAAAGATACTAGATACAGCAAAGTACATTCCATATGATTCCATTTATTTGAAATTCCCACAACAGATTAAGTAATATAAATTAATAGAAATAACTTGAGTGGCTACTGAAGGAAAGAAAGTAGCTGAGAAGAGGAACAGAAAACTTTCTGGAATGATAGAAATGTTCATTTCACATTCATTTAATCGTATGTAATCACACTCTTAAGAACTGCACATTTTATTAAGTGTAAATTTTTTCTCAAGTATTTAAAAATGTGTAAATCAGAATATGAGCATTGTGAAGGCAGGAACTTTGTTTTGTATAATGCTATGTCTTAGGGCCCAACCAAAGACCAAGGCAATTTAATAAGAGCTCAATAAATATCAGAGGAAAAAAAGAACCAGGACTTGGCAATTATATGCATCAATGGTTATCAAAGAATAATGGAGATTTTGACTCTGAGCCTTACACAATGGAGACAAGTCTTGTATTTGAAAACTGATATTATCAATCCACTTCCTGGGTTACTAAGAGTTTTTTTTTTTTTTTTCTAACTGCTGATCGAACTCAGGACCTGCACTTGCAAGGAAGGTGTGGTGCCACTGCACTAGATCCCTGGCCCATTAAGAATCTTATTGATCACTACAAGAGTTTTGAACTAAGAGAATGACTATTTCAAAACAGGTTTTTCTATCTGTAATACCTGTGCTGTCTCTGTTTTTTATTCTTTTCTATTTTGTATAGTTAGCTTCTAGGATTAAGGAACAAATTGGCTAAAAGTGATGATATATGTCCATGCAGAATTATATACATATGGCTGGATAACAATATCTCTTTATCTTGATCCAAGTGGTCAGTTCCAGTAGAAAGGTGAATAGAGTCTTAGGATAAAACTATTGGATGTACAACTGGATTTTGTCTCACATAGTTTGACATATACCAGCCTTCCAGTAAATAGTTGTTAATGAGTAAATAAATGAAATGTGAATTTGGAAGTCTACAATACAATTCAGGGCATATTCTTCTAATATTTTTCTAAAACTTTATTTTAAGCATAACTGGAATCAATTTCTGGAATTTGTTCTTTGAAAGTCATATTTATTTCTTTTTAAACAAATTAACCTAATTTTATTGGAGAATCTTTAGAAAGTAGTTGTGACACGCCACCATGTGACCAAAGACAGAACTACAGCACGAGTTTAGTTGACTGGAGAACATGTAGTAACATAGACAAGGGAAGTTTTCAACCAGGACTCAAAAGTTCAATGCTTCTTCGCAGATATAAGATGACAAAGGAAACAAATGATGGATTGAAAGAGCCAACAGCTCCTATATTGGCCAAAGAGAAAGAAGTGAAAATACACTGTTTTTACCTTTTTGATTGTTTAAAGTATCATATATTCATTGAAAAAATTAAAACTGGAAATACAGAGAATAAAGTTGAAGGTATAAAATTTCAATAATAGCATAACCCAAAAATATTCACTTCAAATTTTCTGATATGTTTGATGACGTGTGTGTGTGTGTGTGTGTGTGTGTGTGTGTGTTTCAACTAGCTTTTTCATGAAAGAGTATGTTCAGGAACAACTTTTCTGTGTCAGTGATACAGATCTCCATCATATTTGGTGATTTAGCACAGTAAGATTATCCTCATGATTTCAAATTTTCTGGCAGGTATGTAAACATAATGAAAATGTCGAGATTTTTTTATTTGTTTGTTTGTTTGCTTTCCTCATCTTGCAATAGAGAAATAGCACCAGGGTACATAAACAATATAAATATATATAGAAGTCAGTTATTGCTTGTAAAATTCCAAATGAATGAATTACTCTATTTAGCTTGAATAGAAGTCACTTCTATGCAAAACAGCATGTTGAATGAAAGGAATGTGGCTTGGTGAGGCCTTCCACATACTGCCTGAGCACCCTACTACTGAGAGTCAGGAAGCTGGATTTGCCCTGTCTGCTCCAACTGAATCAATGACCCTTAGAACCCGATCCCACTCCCGCTTAATTCCAGCCCTAGTGGCATTGTTCAGAATGCCACAAACTTGAGGACCAGTCTGGAGGCATAACGAGCTCCCAAAAGAGCATCATAGAGTGAAAAACAAAAGGCACAGGTATGGTTTGTGAGATGATCACAAAAAGTGGAAGTGAAATTTGATACTTTTTACTCATATTGGAAGAAATAAAATTTCATATTATATCCACTTCCTTGGCATTCAAAAAAAATATTTATTTGCTAACAGGAAACTTAAATTATCTGTACAAATGTCAATCCTTTGCCTTCAAAATTCCATACTTTAAAATAAATGCTTGCATAGGCCTTCTATTTTCTAAATTTTGGTGAGCATTCACCAATATTTCCTTCTAATTATTTCATGGTCCATATAAACAATATTGAAAAGCATATTGTATACACCAGTGGTCCTCATTCTTCAGTGTGTATTATAAACACCCATATAACTTTGTTAGTTATGTTGCTTTTACAGCCCATTTTCAGAGTGTGGATGAATGTTTTGTAGGTCCCAGAAATTTGCATTTTCAAAATGCTCTCCTACTAAATCTGATGCAGTAACACAAGATGTTGATGTAAAACATTTGTGAGTAAAATCCATGTTTCTTTTTTTAATTGCTTGTAATAAATTTAGAGAAATCAAGACTCATAGAAGATTTAGTAAGATCATTTGGATAACTCTGACTCATAACCTAGATTCCTAGTAATAATAATTGAAAACCAATTAAATATTAAACATGATGTGTGAAGCATCCACAGGTACGTGGGGATATCTGGAAGAAAAGATAGTCTGTTTTACAGGGACAATATTATACCTGACATTTATATAGTAGCCATTCTATTCCAAGTACATTTATCATATTTTAGTGTGCTTAAAAGTTTTTGTGGTTTTTCTCTCATTTCAACAGGGGATGGAATGGAGGAATGGGGGTTGTTTCTTAGATACACACACACACACACACACCTATTTTAGTCTTACAAAGCATTTTTGCATGTTTCGGGAATGACAGGATAAAGAGCAGGGGGCTGTTCCCCTTAGATCTGTTCCTTATGTCACTTTGTGCAATTTATACATGCTCCCTGAGAGCCTGCTGAACCAGTAAGGCAGTTCTAGCTATGACAGGGAAAACTTTTATAAATACCAAAAACTTGTAAAGTGTTACATTGTAGAGTGGCTTCTGCTGTCTCTAACAGCAGTTTGTTTTGTTTAGCTCAAAACTAATAGGCACCAAAGGCACTGATGGCTCAATGAAGCATTTGGTTTTACTCTGAGATAACAGGGAACATCAAGGTCTTGAGCTCTGAAGAGACTGGAGCCACATGATCATAAAAGTGTCAAGATAAAAAGACCATTGCCAACATTAGCTCCCCTGACCCTGAACACCACCTTCCTATGGACTAGAACAGATAACTAGGCGAATCTTAAAGGTAAACTCCCAACTGCAAAGAACTGTTACATCTGGGTTGAAAAGATTAACTATTCTGTGACTGTGATTTTAACTGTGAGAATGAAATGCAACCACCCGCATGAAGTCAAGGCTGTGAAACCCTACAAAGCAGGAGTTGTAACCCAGTGTGTCATCAATCCAGGCACGGCTTATGTGTGAACAGCCCTTATCGATAAGTAGATTTTTTATTTTACTTCCATTCTGCTGCCTGTCTGTGTCACTTACTGATTCCTTCCATAGCATCAAGAGCCTTCGTGGGGAGATCATCTCAGAAGATAAGGACAAGATCTTGCTCCTTGAAATCAAGAGCATCAACACTCAAGTACAGCATGCTATCTTTTACTCAAACCTGTACCCAGGATCAACTCCCAAATGAATTTACCACATATGACTCTTTTGGATATGCAGGATCCTGTGACTAAAAGCAGAAGGGATTTCTTTGCTAAGCACTATATGCAAGATACTGTAGCCCCAACAACCCTAGGAAAGTCCCAGCTATGTTAAGTGTCTAAAGAGCAAAGAGGCTTAAGAAGACAGTGGCAATTCAACTTTCTGGGTACTCTAGGAATCTCAGAAGGGTTTGGCTCTTCTGGCCTCCAGTGTACCAGCACAAGTGGGGGCCAGCAAAATAAAGGACCCTGTAGAAGGAGCTATGGCCAGTAAGTATGGACTGACCCAGAAGACAAAGGTAGGGCATGACAGCAGAGGACTGGCATGGGAGCCCACACCTGTACCTACTGGACTTGCTCAGGTGCCCAGATTGAGTTATACCAGGCCCTCTCTCAAGTGACTGATGGATGCTTCCACAGCAAGTTGGGGTCTGTATGCACAGGTTCAACAAGGTGCCACCAAACAAAACTCTGAGTTCATAGTGTATCATCTCTGCCCTACAGCAGTCCTGTGAAGCAAATATTTTTTCCCATGAAAAGACTGAGTCTTAAGCAAGTGTATCTTTCAATATTGCCAGTTTTATTCCTCTGGCTAAGAGATGCAGAGGTAATTTGAGACTTACATTTCTTTTTTATAGTTCTTTCATCAGGAGTTCAAGTGCCCCCATTGCCCTTAAGCTGGTTGCAAATTATTAACTCTTATAAAAAAATTCTCAACTTTTTGTGTATGTGAGATATGTGTGCATTAAAAAAATACACATAAGCAAAAAGTAAAACAAAAACAAAACTTTGCACCACAAAGAAATTTGCACAGTTAGGTTTTTGAGATACATATGTATATACATTGTGCACGCACACACAATTTGGAATTTCATACTATATATGTGAGCTGATATCAAATATGCTGTTTGTAACCTATTATGTTTCACTATGTAACATAGAATGAACATATTTCCATACATATGTGTGAAACTTTCTAATTGAAAAATAAACCAGGAAAATGGCAAACTTCAAAATCCAATGAGATGCTGGTAACAAGAAATCAAAAATGAAATACCAAAAATAAAAGTAAAGCAAAGGTAAAAAGATACATCAGAAAATGCTACCAGGAAGAAAGCAAGGGCCAGATTTTAATATCACACAAAAAAGAATTCAAGGCCTGAAGCACACAGGATAAGGACGGCTGCGTGAATGTCTTTGTTTCCAATGCATCAGCACAAACTTGTTTCTTACTCTTCTTATCTCTTCCCTAAGCCTTTCCAACTCATCTACTCCTCTTATCATTTCTTCAGGGTCCAAATGCCTAACTGGAATGTCCTCTTTAAATTCCTGGCCAGTTTGAGCGGGCCTTGCTCTAAGGTTTCCTTCTGCTTCCTGTCTTATAGTTTCTTCAGAAGGCTGAGGATTTCCTTCTGCCTCCTGTAATGCATCTTCTGAAGGGAGGTGTTCCTCTGCCTCTGGCATATTCTCTGGTTTTCCTTCATTTTCTTCACAAGACTTTTGCATGTTGAGTATTTTTTATTTTATTTTCAAATAAATTAATCCTAGGAAACAAGGAAACAAAATTACTAGGTGCCAGACAAACAATCTGTAGTGACTTTTTTTTTTTTTCTGATTCAGGCCCTGAACCGTCAAGTTTTCCAACTAGGCAAGGCTAGATCCTCAAGCTCATAACTCCCCTCACTCCACCTCCCTCCCCTCCTCCCCCTCACTCCAGCTCCATCTTCTCTCCTCCAGCTCCAGCCCACCATTTTCCCAGCAGGCCTGGCTTTACAAGCCTCTCCCAGCACTGAAAAGCCAGCAACTCAGAAGCTATTAACTCTTGCCTTGCCAGGGGTCTCCAATGTTCCCATCCTTTCTGACTTTCCCAGGTCGTCCTTTCTGGCTTTCCCAAATCATCCCAAACTCCAGGCTTTAACCTGAGATGGTCCAGACTTAGGCTTTCCCTCTCCCTTTCTTGTCTCATTGGCCTTCCCCTCCCCCAACCCATTTTAGCTGCAGGATCTGCACAGGCCTCCCGTGCTTAATCCCGAGGGGTAGAGGCGGTGGCGGCCGGCGCGCCCCGTGGATGTGCTTTGGTGTCATCCAGACTTCCACCTCTCACCTAAGGACCCTGAAGCCATAGTACTCTTACACTGACCTGCAGGGATCCAGGGGCTTTTCCTCCCTCTTCCTTCACCTTGATTTGTGTCTCGTCCAAGAGACCCAGAGTCCTGCAGACAGGTATGCTCGTCTGGTGAGCCCTCCAGTACCTGGATCAAAGGTCCCTTTTACAATTATAGGTCTTGTTGGTGTAGTTTCCCAGTCTTTATTACCTTCCACCTTTTACAGCAACCCTGCCCTCTGTGCTCACCATTTGAGGCAAGTTTTTTTTTCCAAAATTCATATTCATTCTCTCTCTCTCTCTCCCCCTCCCTCACCCCTCTCTCTCTGCTCCCTCTTCTCTCTCCTCTCTCCCCTCTCCTTTCTCCCTCTCCTCTCTCCTCTCCCTCTCTTCTCCCTCCCTCTCTCTCTCTTCTCTCTCTCTCTCTCTCTCTCTCTCTCTCCCTTTCTCTTTTCCCCCCTCTCCCTCTCCAATTAGTTACCTTGCTCCTTCACCACCCCACCCCCACCAAATTTCCTGCACAAAATGGAAGTTTGGCAGAACAGCGATGTGGGGAAAATAGGACCGCCCCGCTTGTTTTCTGCTCTCTGCCTTCTCCACCACAGTGTCTCCAAATCAGCTCCCACCTTTACACTACCTGAAAGGATCCGGGTCACTTTCTTTCTTCTCTAGCAATACGGAGCAGACACAGGGAAACAGGGCCCAGACTATTCGGATTTCTGCACACGTCGACTCTTTGTCACGTGAGGGCCGCGTCATCTATGAGCTCGGGTCTTCAATTACCCCTCCCCTTGGCACAACAGCCCGCCCCTACATTCCGTCCACTTGACACAGTCAGTCTCCCCCCGCCCCCGTATTTGCCAATCAGAGACAATAAACCTGGTAACTTTACCCTGGAGTATCTATTCGTCTTCAAAGCAGCCCTTTTAGGGTTAATAGGCCATTTTTCGTTTTTTTAAGAAATCATCTCTTTCTATTGGGTCCCAATACGCCCACCTCCCCTCCCCCAAAACCCAAGGGCCACTATTTCTCTTGCAATCCTATCCTGCATTAAAATGAGTGAAGGTGGTAGGTAGATGGGGAGGGTGAGAAAATAATCCAAGGTTAAGAGTGGGATTTTACTAGAGCTCTTAATAGTTTTGTGCTTTAAAAAATTAGTGTACTATTAAAAATGAATTTTAAAAGGGATGCCTCACAAGCAATATGCAACGCTTAATGGTAAAGACAAATTAGCCTAGTTAAATCTAAGGCCTGAAAAGGTTTTCTAATGGCTACAAATGAAATGAGAGTATTTATAACATGTAGATGTGCTAGCATCTCAAAAATCCTACTGAAAAGCATTTTTTAAAAAAGACTCATGAATTAATCTGTAGAATATCTGTTTTTACCTTTTAGCAATTTTGTATAAGTTATCTGTTACATTTTCTTTCTGGTTGAATTCAAGTAATTGTGTATTAGATATCTTACTCCACCCCCCGCAGCACTGGGAATAAAATCCAGGGCCTCGCCCTGAGCTACACCTGTCTCCTCTCCCTTTTAAAATTTTTAGACGGGGCTCTATAATTTGCCCAGGTGGGACTCGAACTTTGCCCAAATGGGATTCGAACTGCAATTCTTCTGCCTCAGCGCTGCAATTCCAGGTATGGGTCACCATACCTGACAATAGATATCTGACCACTTCATTGATGGCTGCTAGTAGCTTCCACTTGTGTTCTGTAGGAGTGCTTCACACAGACCTCCTTGCCTCATAAGCATCAGTAAGATCCAATACCTTTGTTAATCAAATGAATCCACTGAAAAGTCTAGTTTCCACCTAGTGGTCTTTAAGCATCATTGCTGTTAGAAAGCAGTTCTAGTTATTAGTTTAAAGAAGAAACTGATCTCCCAACTCAGAATTCACTGGTACCTGGAGGTGTAGTGGTGCCAGTGGAGTCAGCTGGAGAATCAAGAACAGGGAGGTTAACAAGGTCTCTTGTCTAGGATGATCACAGCAGAATGCCTCAACCAACGATAGAACCCACCAGGGAGAATAAAATGTCTGTAAAAAATATTTTGCTGCCTTAATGTTTTATAATTTATGTTTAAGTATGAGGAATCTATTTCTTGGATGAAAGGAACATTGTCTGAGTGAGTTTTTAATTAAACGTAGCAAGCAAATTATAAAGACAACACCACCTACCACCAAATATTTCCATTCTTTCAAATGTTACCATTTAATGGAGAGCAATTCTGAACATCCCTATGAATATGAAAATTGACTTTCTGTGTGTGTGTACAATTCTATGCAATTTAATTACCTCAATCAGAATATAATTCAATCACCTCCAGATTTCCTCATGCTATGCTTTTGTAGCCATATCTTCCTTCCCTAAACTCTGGAAATTACTTATCTGTTTCCTATTACTATAGCTTTGTCTTCTTCAGAATGCATACAAGTGATTTCATACCATAGGTAATACTTTGAGACTGACTTCTTTCACTTAGCATAATGTCCTGGACATCCATTTAAGAGTTTCTATGCATCAGTAGTTCATCTTTCTCTTTTTATTGGTTAGTATTCTGTTATTTGGATACTCCGCAATTTATTCATTCTCCTGCTGAAGGACATATGAGTTATTTTAAGTGCTGAACAGCTATGAACAAAGCTCTTGGGCTAGGGATTTAGCTCAGTGGCACTGTGCCTGCCTCGCAAACACAGGGTCCCTAGTTCGATCCCCAGGTTTTTTTAAATTAAAACTATGAAGAAAGCTCATATATGTTCACATATAGGTTTAGGCCCTTATTATTTCATATCTAGACTACCTGCTTCCTTCTAATTGATCTCACACATTACTATCAAATTAAACTTCACACTTCTATGCTTTCAACTCTCAATCTCCTGCCCATAGACCTTCCTTAGCCACACAGTAAATTGTAGACTTTTCATTCTCATATTAAATATCCATCAGAATTGAGCCCAGGATACATGTTTCCAATCTAGTCATGTATTGCTTTGCCTCATACGCTGTGTCCCAAGCTTTCCTCATTCATCCCTCTAATTGTCCTTACATGCAAGTTCTTTTCTGCCAACTGTCGTCCTTGTTATCCTAGATCCTGGTCATCCTCATTCTTAGAGGCCCACACTCATCACCCAGTCACCTCAGATGGAAGGGATCTTTCCTTTTCTTGTTTCTGCTGCACACGAGGTCTGCATTCCTGTATAGCCCTTAGCTAATGTTGCCCAGCGCCCTTCTCCTCTCCCCCATCTCACTCACTCTCCCACTGTCTCTTTTCCTTTCTGTCTTTGTCTCTCTATGCCCCTCCCCAGTGTGTGTATATGTGTGTTGGTGGACACTTACTGAGGCAGATGCACAAATATGAATTGTGGAAGGAAATTAGTAGTCTAGCTCTCACACTTCTGTAGTGACTCTTTTAATGTTAACCAGTGTATTTCCCAGAAATTTCAGTGTTTCAGACTTTGCTGAAGCCAGTAATGTAGTTCAGTGGAAGAACACTGGCCTAGTATGCTCAAGGCCTGAGTTTGATCCCTAGCACAAAAGCAAAAAAACAAAACAAAACAAAACAAAAACAAAAAACAAAAAAAACAGTTCACCAATTAGCACACAGATGAACCTTTCTGCCAGCACAAAACTTCAACTAGAAGTTTCATTATCCTCTTCTCCATTTATTCTGCTTATATGTAATTATAGAAAGCCTAATACTATTTTTATGGTGCTACTGGCAGAGCATATTAACCTTGTTGCCCTAAATACTCACAAGAGACATCAATAAGCTCACCAATGCACACCTGATGAAGAACCGGGCAATGTAGGCCATCACTTTCATCCTTGTCCCTGGCAATTTCAGTGCAACAATGTAACACTCAGCTACCTTTGAAATTAAGTTAAGTAATCACAGTAGATTTTAAATATAAGTAAAAATTTACAATATTACATTAGCATGCAATTAAAGAAGTTAATTTTTTAAAAGTGAAGAAAAAGGTTCATACATCACATTTGACAATGAAATTATGGGTTCTGGAGAGTAGACACCCTGAGTCTCTCAGACAATCATCGTCCTGCTTTTGAGCAACAAGCAAGCACTAGGTATGGTACCAAAGCCCAAAGTTCTCCAGGTTATGTGAGAGGAGAAGAAAAAAGGCTCCATTTTATCATCCAGGTGTGTCCATATAAGCTTATACTAAAATGAACAAGGAACTCTAATGCTATGATATCCAGAAGAGTGTTTTCTGTCTTCCTTTTTTAGTCACTTCCATAGTCTTGTATTCTGAGACATTACAGCAACTCTTCCTGCATATTTCTTCATTGATGTTTTTAATCTTCAAATTGATATTAGTAGTTATTCATATTTGTGGGATACAGTGTGGCATTTTAATACATCTGCACATTGTATAGTAACCAATGTGATGTCAATATATGCATACATTGTATAATGAGCAAATCAGGGTAATTAGCATATCTGTCACCTCAAATATTTATCATTACTTTTTGGTGAGAAAATTTAAAATCCACTCTTCTAGCTATTTTTAATTATTTAATAAATTATTATTAACTATAGCCACCTTACTGTGCAATAGAACACCACAACCAATTCCTCCTATATTATTATAACTTTATACCATTGACCAACCTCTCCCTATCCTTCCTTCCACCTTCAATGCTGCTTAAAAGGACATCCTACAGTCTTCTCCATCACTTCTCTAGCACATTATGTGTGGCCCAGAAACATCCTACCTAGCATAGAAAAATCTGCCCCAGATCCAAAGGTTTAGCATAATATATACTCAAGCACCCACCATCTAAGAAGATTTGCCCCTTCGAGTAGAAGGAGATTCAGCACATTTATCATTTTGCACAACTGAGGGTGGTTCACCCGGGTTTTGGTTCAAGTGGCACACACAGAACCTAGGCTGATTTCCTCTTAGGTTGTTTCTATTCCAGAAACAATAAGCTGTTATACCATTCCTATCACCTTATTCCCAGACATAATGCTATGTTCTGCACGTTTAGAATAAAAACATTTCTCAAATTCTTCAAACGAGAAAAAAACATTGGCCACATCCACATGAATGAACTTAACTTGAAGCACTTCTATAATCTTCATTATCTCTTCCATGTAAGTCTGTCATTGCTTGGATTTAGAGCTGAATGCTGTGAACATTGTTGATTGTGGTAAAGTTTGTAGTTAACCAGAGCATATGCTTATGGATTACTGCAATCCTAAAGTGCTGGGTCCAAACCACTACCATTTCAACATTTCAAGTGAATTGTTCTGCTTAGACTTTTTTATGTCCAGTACTAGAGATTGAACTCAGGGCCTTCTCACTGTGTTCCAACCCCAGCCCTTTTTTATTTTTTATTTTGAGACAGGATCTCACTAAGTCACCAAATTACCTAGGCTTGCTTGAACTTGTGATCCTCCTGCCTCAACCTTCCAGAGTGCCTGGATTACAGACTTACAGCACCACACCTGGCACTGGGATGTTAATATGTAGCATTATGTTTAAGATTCACTTCAGAAAGATTCTTGAGGTTGCTTTGTGGGATGCTGGGGAGACATGCCCTAACTGTGTCTTGCCTTCGGCTAGGCAAGTTTTTCATGTGGCAAAGCATAATTGTTGAAGTAGAAAGTGCCTTTGCTCTCGGTTGAATGTTTTAAAAATTAAATTTATAAGCCTTCACTGACCTCTTGATTCCACATTAGTTCACCATGACTCATAAATCTTTAGACCCTGTATTTACCCATTTTTACATCTTCATCCAGTTTTGTTTGCT